GCCCTCGTACGCCAGGGGGAGGGGGTACTGCTTCTCCACGAAGCCGCTCTGGTCCGTCAGCTGCAGCATGGGGGTGTAGCCGCGGATGCAGCCAGGACGGGCGCGGAATATCTCGCGATACTTCATCAGCACCGCGAATAACTCGCTTTTCTGCTCGTCGCTGGCCTCCTCGGCGGCCTGCACTGGCGCGCGGATCTTCTCGTCGGTGGTGGGGGTGGTGGAGAGGGAAGCCACTACCGTGTGGTGCGACTGTTCACGGACCGCCAAGTTGACCCTGGGGTCGCACCTCCGGATTGTCCCCTCCGCCATCAATGTCTCCACCTGCTCCTCGGTGAGGTGCAGGTGGTCGTCACCCTCCCACGTCTCGACAGCGCTTACCCGTACGGTGCTGAGGAGCCTGACCTGGACGCAGCTGGCGAAGGCCACGCCCCCTTCTCGCGCACCGTGGAGAAACAGTTGGTGCACAGAGAAGTTCAGGACGCAGCCGTGATGGTCCAAGAAGTCGGCGCCCAGGATCAGCTTGCGCATGAGCCCGGGAACCACCAGGGTGGGGACATCCTCATGCCAGCTGCCGAAGGTGATGGGCAGCATGACCTGGGTGTTGACCCGCTGACTCTTGGTGCCGACCGCGCCGGTCAGGCTGACGCCCATGAGGGGCAGCTGGGGGATGGAGCCGTGGTGGGGCTGCAGCTCCGCCCAGAAGCCCGCCGAGGCGCAGGTGGCCTCCGCACCGGAGTCCAGGAGCACGAGGACGGAGACATCAAAGATGGTGATGATTACCTCCGGGCAGACTCTTCGCACCAGGTGACCGTCCTCGTACTCGTCCTCAAAGAGCTCGGCGTCAACGTCGGGAAACAGCGCGTACAGGTGTAGTGCGGTCGAGACGGCGAGGTTGGGGGCCGCCTCGACCTCTACTCGTTTCCCGAAGCAGGTGTGCTGGTGGTCTCGGGGTTGGCTGCGCCTGCGGGCGGGGTAGCTGGTGACGCCTTGCCGCGCCCGCGGCGGCGCCTCCTCCCACCCGCAGCGGCGGGTTGCTCTTCGGCGCCTTCCCCCCCAGCGGCGTCAG